GTGGTAGCTTCTGCTCGCTTGGCTGGTTAAAACCAGTATTGTTTTTAAGGAAAGTGTATAGACTTTATTATCATAAAAACAAAAATCTTTTGAGAACGTCTGTTTTTTGGGTTGGCAAAAGAATCAGCGGAAAGAGTTTACCTGATTATTTGAATTATTGTATTCATATTATTAAAATTTTTAATATAGACTTATTAATATTATTTATATTACATATTTATATTATCAATTTATATATAATTATATTTTCTTTTAGTTAATATAATTTCTTTATATTGTTATATTATAATACTATTTTTTTTAATAAATAATAATTTTAAAATAAATTTATAAAAATAATATTAAAAAAAAGTTAAAATAATAATAATAAAATAATAATAATAATAAATAATATAATAAAATTTAATTATTTTATTACAATATATTTAACAACTTGATTAAATAAAAAATTTATTTATAAAAATTTATTAATTTTATATTTTATATTTAAAAATTAATTAAAATATTATAATAAGAATAATATATTTATATTTTATTAAATCAAATTTAAATTTAAAATAATTGATATTAAATAATAATATAAAAAATATAATTTTAATCAATTGCTATTTTTATTTAATATTTTGAATTATATAAATAATAAATAAAATATTGCAAAAATAATTTTTTCAAATTATTAAATTTTCAATTTTAATATAAATATATTTTATAATTAATAATTAATTCTTTTTTAAAAACTCAATATATTATCTTATCTATATAATTTATAATATTTTTGATTAATATTAATATTATAAATTTTAATATTTTTATTATAATATTTAATAAAATAAATCTTATTATAAAATATAACAAAATTCATATCTATTAATAAAGTTATTAAAATGTTATAAGAAACTTTGTAATTAAAAGTCAAATAATTTTTAAATATATTATTAATTTGTTATTAAATTTATTATTGTCGATTTTAAATTCAAATTATTATTTTCAGTATCAATATTATTTAATATTGAATTTTATTGATTGTTATTATTTAAAGTTATAATTTGATTTAATAAGATCTTAATCAATATGATAAGTATATTTTTTAAAATAATAATATATCAATTCATAAATAGAAACATATATATTTGAAAATAATATTATTAATCTTTTATGGCCTTTCCAAAGTTCAGATATCAATTTCAATGAAAATTTTTGAAATAAACTAAAATATAAAATTTGCAAATATACATTATTACCAATTAGTAAAACCAAATTGTTTAACTTTTTACAAGAAAATCTTGTAATTAATATGCCTAATCATATTGAAGCAATTAGAAAATTTAAAGAAAATCCTATAAAATATTAAATAAGAAAAAAAAAATTCTTTCTTGGTTATCACCGAATTTGTTTATTGGCTGGTGACATCAAAAATGGGTGGCTATTCTCCGTACATATTTGTACAGCATACGTGCATTGTTTTTGAGTGAAATTTCCGGATCACGAGAACTCCTGCATAAATGTAATTCATTGGTTACACGTGACTATATTACAGATCGTCACTCGAAAACAATGCGCATACTGTATATGCTGTACAGATATGCACGGAGAACAGCCACCCTGTCACTTATTTTGGTAAAAAATCTCTACTAATTGTATAAGTAGATAATCTAAGTTATTAGTAGTTAAAAGCTTTGTTTTCTCTTGTTTCGTACAAACTTTATATTTGATGTTTTGAGCGAATCCCATGGGAATTTATGTTGTTTATCTGGTATCTTAGAAAAAAAAAATAGTGATATTATAGCCACTTCGTTAATATATCACAGCGGAGTCAATACATGGAAAAATTGCTCTTACCTTAATTATATAACCAACATCTTGGGAACTTTCTTCCCGATAATATCTTGTTGTAGTCGCATGTCAATTTTTATTTTTATCATCTGACGAATGGAGTGCAGTATGAAGCATTACAAGTACCATATTCTGTTATTTCCGTGATGCACTCTCGGAATTCCGGGCTTCTACTTATATACATTCTTTCAACTGTGAATGTCGACATGGTAAGTATAAGGTGGATGATATAAAAACACGTCACCCATGGATATTTTTTTCGGATCCAGACGGAATCGTTCCTGTATATTCCTGTTACTGTATATTTAGGGTTTTGTTCATTTCCATATGCTCGAGGTAGACATTGAACAATGAGAGTGGATCAAGGCAATCCGAAACCTTGCAATTCAGTTGTAATAGCCGAATTCCGTTTTTTTTTTTGTTGGTCGTGGATGTTTCTTAAAATGGCGATTGTCAATGAAATCATATCTTGTTCGAGCGATAGTAGACATGTGAAGTGAGGTCCATTAAGACTTTTTGGATTTTATTACATTCACAAATCTTTGAGTAAAAATGAACAATTAAAACTTTTTTTATTTGTGAACAGGCTTCTTTCTTCAGTCACCGATTATGTTCTATTAAAAAAATCCATATAATTAAAAATATTATTTTGTAAAATAAAATATTTAATAAATAATAATATGAAATTAAAATATACAAGGTAATTTCATATTACTATTTAGAGTATAGTATGAAAATATATAAATATTAAGAATCATATTATAAATAACATGTACTTAATATTATTTTATAAAAAAAAAAACAATAATGAGTAATATATACACCATATATTAATAAACATGATATAAAAGAATTAACCATTATACATACATGTATAAACAGTATATTTCTAAAAAAATATTTTAAAATTTAATTTATTAATTTTTTTTTAAAAAATTAAGTGTATTCAAAAAAATTTTTTTTCTTTTTTTTATATAAATTATATTACCAAAATCTACATAAAGCATTGATCATTTATTTTATTTTTTTTAATTTAACAATCAATAATATCTGATATATTAATGTAACAATAAATTGTTAATGATTTTGATTTTCTAATAATTATTTTAAGATACTTAAGAGTTTAATTTTTTTAAAAAAAGAAAAGTTTTGTTTAAACTTGATTTTATTTTAATAAAATATTATCCCAATATAAATTGTCTATTAGATAATTAAAAAAAATTATTTGTAAATATAAATTTGTGTATTTTATTAAATAAAAATTTTTCAAAAATAGTTCAATTTATTAAATGAATAATTTTAAAATTAGTTTTTTAATATCATTTATATATTAATTATTAAATTATGATAAAAAATATTATTTGTAACAAATTTAAATAACAAATGTATTAACGTAATTTATTCGCTTATTAAAAGTATATTTAATTAATGATGAAAGTTAATTTAATAAAGTTACCTAAAATTTATTATATAATCGAGTGTCCTGTAAGTGTGTAATGCTTATTTGGGTGTATGAATCCAACTAGTCTGATATAGTAGAATTTGAGGACTCCCTTTTTTTTTTTTTAATTAAAATTTTTTCTACGATAGAAAAAGTCTAGTTTTCGTTGCGCCATTAGAGTTGATGTTTAAGACGTTCATTAAAGATTGAAGTGATATTCTCGTTATCTTATGATTTTCATGCATTTTAATAGCAGCGCGTAGAATAAGTAGTTCACATTTGACCGGTAAAAATGTACAAAAATATGCATACATTTTATCCGAATGTGTCTTAGGGCCTTTCGAGAAGGCAACAATTAAAATACACCATCCAAAGGCATTTACATCCATCCTCATAATTATATTTAAATTTAAACATGGTAAACAATCGGTAATTAGAATGAATGAAGGCGGTGGTACTGATGTTAGGACATAATGGTTTCTGGTATCAAAGAGCAAAGAATTATGTTATAGTTGGCTGTTATAAGTTAGAGTAAAAAAGACATCATTAAACAACATAAACACTTTGAACATAATCATCAAATATTAATATTAGATGTGCAAAGAAACACGTTTTGTATTTGCTCTCTCGGACTTGGGGAGAAACTTTTCAATCCGAAGAAAATTTTTATCTAGTAGGGGGGATAGAAATGATATAATTTTTTGCGGTAAGTTTGTAAACAAAAAAAGCAGGTAAATGGCTAAATTTGTCAGTACCTATTAAACAAAGCTCCGAAGAAACAAGTCGAAAAACTAGCTTAAATAAAAGCTTATTCGAAATAAGACACAATTACCATGTTAAAGGGATCATATTACAAACTCTTTGTCTCTCAGGCAGTGTAACTTCTTTGCACAAATCCGGATACTAAGCATTGCAGGACGTTGATTGTTTTTTGATTACCTGATCAAGTTCATTGCGTACCACCAGTCCCCTAAAATTGTATCTCTGAATTTTTGCATACGTGAATTTCTTGATTGCACTTTAAAACCCAGAAAAAAAAAAAAAAAAAAAAAAACCTATTACACATAATTTGAGGTTTGCCTTTTTCCATAACACAAAATATCTCCTCGACAGAACATAATTTCTCGTCGCAAAGGAAACGTCACACCCAATAAGTTTGGTTTGTTGAAAGAAAATGAGTACAGCTAATAAAACTCAAAATGTACCCGGCCCCGACCTTCCTTCACCCAGACTAAAAATGTGCGAAGATAATTTTCTACCGTTGATAACTAATGAAGATAGACCAGCCGAGTTTGCGAAAATACGTGGTTGTTCTCAAGCAAGAAGTGACATAAAAAAGTGCGTAGATAGAGAAACTACGCGCAATAAAAACATAACTATTTCAATTGAGCTCGTTGAACGATTAAGTAATTTATTTATTTATTATTTTGCTTCACACGAAATTATAGAATTTTAACAATTTTGACTTTTAACTTTTGCAATTAATTTTAATTGATTAATTACTTACAATTCGAATTTATTTTTTTATTTTATTTTTTTTTACCCTGTTTCCGATGAAATCAATGCATTTGCATTAAAAAAATTAAAATTAGTCTATGATTATGACAGGCTTTATCAGGATTACAATAGTCTGGTAGAAATTCATGAACAGGGATCCGTCTTGACTCGTGAAAAGTTAGAAAAGTACATCGAAATCGCCGATCAAGTGATCAAGATGAATGAACTGACATTGGAAGAACTTAATAAAAAGCATGAACTGCTCAAGAATTCGAGGAAAGAATCTATCGAGAGGTCAGGGAAAAATCTTGGATCCCGAGAGGACATTCTAGAGGGAAATATTGAAATGGAGAGTGAACGCAGCGAAATTGGAGAAAACTCATATGATGAAAGGAAATTTGGAGACGAGATGATTGGGTCGAATGAGGAAAGGACTAAAAGCATAAACGAAAATCACCGTGGAAACGGCGTAGGTAAAAAGATACCTAATCAAGGCGACGTCCCTGAAAATGGGGATAAGCAGGTGAGTAAGAGCAGGCATAAGGTTAGGTCAAATGAAAAGGGCGAAGAGAATTACGGCGTAGGGAGCTCAAAAACCGATTACGCTGTTGAAGGGATCAAAGATGGCGCCGAAATAATAAAAAAGAATAATAGCATGAATGGAAAAGATGATAAAGTGGGTTATGCGAAGGAGAATGATGGTCTTGGATGGAGTGATGAGGTAAATGCTCGTTTTGATGAGAACGAAGGGAGGAATGAAGATGATTGGGAGAGTGAAGACATTGATGATTATAAAGAAATTCCAAATGTTAAAAAAGGTGGGTACGGTGGTAATGTGAAGGAAAATAAAAATTCGAGAAATCGATATAACCATGGAAGGAGTTATGCTAGAAATGGAAACAACAACCGACGGCGGAATTTTGACAATAGGAATTGACGTTAAAATCTTCTGCTATTCTTCTACGTCTAGAGGGACAATTATATTTCTCACACACCTTTTGCATATTTGGTGACGTACACATTAGCGAATAATATTATCACGGGTTCTCTGAGAGGTGGTTTAGGATGTTGGGTACAGAGTAAAAGCTGATCTCGAAGGAGACTTCTGTTTTCTTTAGATTTTCTTCACTGACATTTTTGATAAAAGATGTATCCAAGGATTAAAATTAGATTATCTGACGGGATAATTTTCCCATGACGCTAGGAATAGCGAGAGAAGTGTGCATTGAAAATTTTTTAATATATTCTTATGGGAAGTTAGGATAAGGAGTGAATCAAATTAGTCGAAAAATGAAATAAAATTATTTTGCTTCGACGCTTCCAAACCAAATGAACATCTTGCTCTTCGGAGGATTACATAATTACTTATTTGATTGCGACCCGAAGAAGTATATGATTCTCTCATTACGCTTTATTTTTTTCTTTTAGTAAGATCTACTTATGAGCGTGCATGAACAGCGTATACTGTTTATATGGTATATTCTTTTCTGCTATCATCCGAATTCTTGAAAAACCTTTACTACTCTAGTTTCTAAATAATAAATTTAAGATAAATAAAAGCTTCAATAATTCAATTAACATCATTTATTATACAAATTAATAATCATGAAGTTATATAAATACAAATGTTTATATAAATTTTAAATTTTTATAATATAAATTATTCTGGTATCATATTTCTTTACGTAATAGCTATCAATAAAATTTTATAAAATATATAGTATAATTCTTGCTTTTGTTTTATACTGTAGATTGTGAATTCAAAATATTTTTAATTCAAATAAATCTCCTAATCATTTTCAAAATTTTTAGATTAATTAATATCAAGTCATATTGTATTTCATATTTATTATTAAATAACTTGATTTAAAAAAATCTTAAAACCAATTATTAATAATAATAGTTGTTTTTTATAATATTATAATATTTTTTTATATACAATTTATTTAGGGGAAATTAAAAAATTAGAAATAATAGAAAAAAAAGTTGTTCCATTTTCTATATTGGTTTCACCTTTCTGGGTGGATCGATCCGCACAGTTGGATATGTCGGTAATCAGCATTAGCATGTCTGGGATCGTAAATGTATAAGTTTAAAATAATCCATAGGCATCGAAGGCTTGTTCGCTATTATAAATAAAGCAAATAAATTTTCAAATGCGATGATCATGTGGTCAGATACTGTTGGATGATTAAGTGTACTCGTCGAAATCATTTTTTTCTGTAAAATATTTTGTTATATAAACTTGAAAAAATAAAATAAATTTTATCACGTCTGTATAATGGAAGAGATAATTTCTTTGATTTACTGTGAATGCATTTGTTATGACATTCAAAGAACCTTATTAAAGAACTCATTTGAATTTGAATAACGATAATACACGCGTATCATTAAAATCCTGTTTCAATGATCACAGGAAAAACCACATGCTTTTATGTGACAAAACAAAAAGCGCAAATGATGACGACAAGCTAATCTTGTGGTACTGAATTACATTGGATACGTATAAATACATGATCAATAGCGTGTCCGTCTCAATTAACCTATTCACTTTCCTCTTGATTCCTAGAAAGAGCTTATATGATTGAGTTGATTATATACTAGACGATTTATATTAAGGTGTATTTCCGTCTATCAAGATAATATTGGTCATTATGCCTGCCGCTTCTTAACATACATACATTTTTTTTTGCATAGCGTATTCATCTTCGTTCGGCACCTGATTACATTATTTTCCCAATAAAATCCGTCACATTACAATTGATGATGGAAGAAAAAAAATTTGAAAATCCATCCAGTCCCTCCGAACCAAAAAATCTGACCAATTTCGGTTCGATATCTACAATAGACACCAATGTATCATCTGACTTGATAATCGCCGAGAAGGTTGCCGCACCGTTGAAAATGAATCTTCGGATACTTGCGCTAGATCCCGATGGTCCTGATTTTACTATAGCAATGGACGGGTTAAAACCAGGTCAATGCTTGGAGATTTATCATTTGAACGAGGAATCAGATATTGGTAAACATTTATTTGTCAAGGTCGATAAAGAAAACATAAGGCTCAATCCCGGTGCACAGTTGCAGGTATGAAAATTATTTTACTTAATTTATCATTTTTTGCTTTGGTAATGAGCTTTTTAAACTATGAATTTGTAACACGAAGGCTTATCGTTCCAGATTTCGGTGACAAGTAATATTGCCAACTCGTTTGGCTTCGTGACAAATTCCACCGTTATGGTTCGCGAGGTAATTCGTACGATCATTTTTTCGTCATATTATTTTATAATTTAGTTATCTTGTATTGTTAGGTTGACGCAGAGACCGTTGCTGTTAACTATCCGGCAGATCATGTTGAATTATATTTTCGAGATCAATATATTGGTAGGAGTGATATGTGGCGATTATCTCGAAGCCTTAACAATACTATTGTTTACCAGGAGAGACGGATAACGCTTGCAAAAACCATTCGCGCCAATGTGAAGAAGATTTATGTTAAAGGAAAACAAGTAATGCATTGTAAACCACATCTCAAATATATTTATAATTGTCGTGCATTCACTAAAATCTGCAATCATGCCTTAGGTGAAATGTGGGTATATAACAGAAAACACAAAAACAATTTTTCGATCAGAATCGGCAAAATTATTCATCTTTGTTCAAATGTCTAAAGAAATGTGGGAATTTGATGAAGACGGAGATCTATATTATGAGAAAACGGTTGACGGGTTTTTCAAAGAATTGTTTTGTCATTGGAAAGAGCGCGGAACAAACCATGTGATCTCGATAGTCTTGTTCTCGAGATTATTTTACGATTACGAAAAAGACCTAAAAGACGACCCTGATTTGCTCAATGACCCCACATTAATGAAAAATCATGAGGGAAAATGGTGCCGGGACTTCTATAAGGTTATTGTAGATTGGGAGACAAGGAACGATTGGACAACAGCGTTAAAGGAGTTGAAGAATGAACTCTTGAGTTATCAGCCCAAAATATTGTTAAGAGAGAAAAGAAAAGGTGATAGTGTGTATAATGTATTATCGGGAACGAATTCATATGCTTTTTCAGGCAACATTCTGGAAGCCATAAATTTGGCAATGAACCCTTTTGACAAGCACTACGTGGATCGGGATTTATTACGTACTGGATTATCAATAATTGTGGTGACACCTGGGTGTGGAAGGTTCGAGGTCGACAAAAAAGTCCTAAGGGTTACCACAGAACGCATGACGGATAACGGGATAGGATTAGATCTTGTGTGTCTATCAAAGGTTCCTCTTCACATCGTACCACTATTCAAATTTAAGTCCATAGAACTTTCCAAGGCTCCTGTACCAGATTTAATACAAAAAACAATTGGTCACAAGCTGCAAACTAAAGATTTGCTAAAAATGGATATATTGGATCCATTAGACTATGACGAAAAGGAAAATGATACAACTTATTCATATTATAAAAGTCCGGATTGGGTAGATTGTACTTTCTACTCGTATAATCGGAACAAACCAAGCGTGCCCTCCAAGTTTATCACACGATGCAAGATGTATGAGATACAGATGATGGGCATCATGGAGCATGAGATAGAATCGATCAGGATTCCGTATTTATATAGCTCACCGTACTCACAGGCAGGTGACAATTTTGACTATGATGGTTACGATGAAAATATTTTTTCTCGCAACATAGTTCCTAAGTCAAAAAAAAAAAGAATTGGGTTGGGTGGTATAAACTTTACTTCAAATGATTACAATCCGCATCTTAAAATTCATGATGATATAACTTCGTCGCAACTGAAAACTCATTGCGTGGAGTTATCTAAAAGTTATCCTAAGGCCTTGCCCATGTCTCAAACTCAGTATCGACGACCCAATTATACAGAATCAATGGATTTGGGAGATATATCAAAGCCACATGCCGCGCATGACATTTGCCAAGACGGTAGTAACTTGGAGGGTAACTGTCAGTCCGCAGATGATGAACCGTATGTTTCAAATAGTAGTACGAAGCCAATAGACATTATATCCCCGAGAAATATTAATCGAGATCCGGCACCATCACCTGCAAAAAGTTATGATTCACACATGTCAATTATGAAGCAAGCATCAGAAAAGTCTATATTTTATCGACACGAATATCAATCTCACTTGTTTAATCCCTGCAACCCGCTTAGGAATTTTGGTGACAATAATATTAGTGCACATTCAAGGAAGTGGAAGCATGCATATCCAAAACGGGTGCCATTGGATCGTATGAAATGGCCATCAATGTGTACACCAGCCTGCCTTCCGCTTACCACTGATTATTTTCCGCCGATTAATGAAACCGGGTTGTATCAAGAGCACACCTACATTATGAACCCGGATCAAAATAAAATTGAAGAAAACTTGAATGAATTAATTTATCAACGTTTGTCTCAAGGATATCAGTTAATAATTCGGTCGGCGGATGAAGAAAAACATTCTCAACTTGGCAACTTGCATCCGTATTACCTTAGTATGGGACGACAAGTTCATATGTTGGTGTATGATCCGTATAATCGGCAGGTAGAAGTTAAGAGATATGTTCGCAATATTGAATACGGCACAACTCCAATTTCCTATTCTTGTGTAGTATGGCCAAGATGTCAAGATTTTTATGAGAACAGGAAAGTTACCTTCAATTTTCCTGACCAGTCCTACAAGTGGAATTATGTTGATCAATTGGCTTGTGGACTTCAGGATGAACTATTGAAACAAGATGCTTTGCTGTATGAACTGAAATTCTGGAGGACGAGATTTATTCTTATACCAGCGGAGAACAGTTCGATAGGTTTAGTATCAGGTGCAACATCTCCTGATGAGGAAGCTAGAATTGATGGTATAATTAAATTTCTCGATTCATTTGAAAGGGCCGCAAACATGCGGACCGATAATAGAGGGGATATCACGTCATTTTTGCGCTGCACTACGCTAGACCTATCGATTTACTTGAAAAACCCCGATGAAGCAAAACCCTCAAAACCAATGGGTAACCCGGTACTTACTAAAAACTCATCACCAGCAGAAATAGTCGCAGCAATGTTGGATCCTGAATCAGATTTGATAAGAGAAAATCGTTGGCGCTTAGGATCATATCAAAATTCCATGAAGGGTAGTGAGTTTGTGCTTTGGTTACAAAGAAACTTTTCGGATATCAGAACCCGACAGGAGGCAATAGATTTTGGAGTTTCGCTACAAAGTCGAGAGGTTATTGAGCACTGCGAAAAGAAGCATAAGTTCATGGATGGATACTATATCTACCAGATATGTCAGAAGTATGCGGCAAGGCGCAAAAGTGGTTTTTTCTTGACTAAAGTGTTGAAGGGTACCCCAGCTGCTCCTAAAAAGTCAGCGGATACCATTGGTACAGTGGATAACATGGGTACAGGTAATGAACCTCCTCCAGTTATTGAGCTATCTAAAGCGATACTCATTGATGTTGATCCGTCGAAAAAGAGTGATCGAAAAGAGGCTGCTACATTACACTACGATACAATTTACAATCCAGATAATGGTTATCATTTTGAGTTAAATTGGCTCCAGTGTACATCCCGTCTTATAGAGGAAATGTTAATTCAGTGGGGTAATATGGCGCGTAAGCATGGTTTAAAATTGGTAGAGGCGCCGATTGAACAAGCAATGAGCTTAAGCGATAACAATCCATTTCAATCACCTACCTTCATAAAATTATCTGTACCCCCGCCACCATTGGTAAGGGAGAAATTACATCCTCATGTGGATCCACATTTATATTTCGAGAAACAACTAGTAAAAGAGTTTAAGTTCATATTAGATGTTGAGGCCGACGATAGATTTCCCGAGGTGGTGCAATACAAGTATTCATATTACAAAACCGCTTACCAGTATTCGCAATATATACATCGTTCCGGCGTGGCATTCATCCAAATACGCGATCCGGGTGAAGGGTTCCTTTGGGTTAACAATCGATTATTTACGACCCAAAACAGTAACAGGGGTCACCCGAACCCGGACCATCTGATGAACGAATTTCAACGTTTTTGTGAGAATGAAACGGAGTTAGGAAAGTTCTGGGAAAATGTGAAGAATAATGTGCCTTGGGTTGAAGAAGCTGAAGTTATCGATGGTGTTGATGGTCACGATGGCAATGATGGACGAGCTGATGATAGTACAGCCAACGATGATAATGTTAACAGTTATGAAATCAACGGCGGCAACGTCATCGATGAAAAAGTCGATGAAAAAGTCAACGGTGGTAATGTTAACGGTCATAAAATAAACAATGCTAACTTCAGCTGTGACAAAGTCGACGACGGCAAAACTAATGATGAAGAAGTTAATGATGGTATAATTGATGATATCAAAGTTGACGATTGCAATTAATCGGAATTTACATAAATGGCTAGTTTTACTATTAATAAGAACCTGAAAAAAATTTTTTAGTATAAAGCATATATAAAATATCTTGTCAACTACCTGCAAATATTTAATTCATAATCTATGTACAATATTCTTGAAAATAATTCAAGTAAAATAAACTCAATATTTACCAAGAAGTTATCAGTCATCTTTATTAAATAAATATACATATATGCATTGTATGAGTGAGCGTTATCAATGTTTAATCACAATATATTTTATATGCGGAATGGCAAAAAAAATCTTTTCTTAATTAATTAATTATATATTTATTTAAGAGAATGAAGCAGCCTTCCACATATTTATATGTATTTATTAGAAAATAAAATCAATTAAACCAGTATATAAAAGATTATTAAATCTTTTTATTATTTATAATATATTAATAATTTTTCAAAAAAGATCATATATACTGTATATAAATATTATTTAAAAAGTTATTGAACAAAATAATTTTTATAAAAAAAAATATAGTTTTTTTTTAATAGTTTATATTTTAAATTTTGATTTTAAAATTAAAAAAATGGATTAAAAAAAATTTTTTTAAAAAACAATATTTATAAAAATAGTAATATGTTAATAATATAATAAAATAGATAATTTAATCTTATTTTTCTATTAATAAACATTATTTCTTTATTTAATTTGTATATATTAAGATATATATTATTAAAAAACAATATCTTTTATATGTAATAATAAAAAATTAAATACTAATTTATTTAGATAATTAATATTTAACTAATATCAAAAATAGTTTAAAATAATATTAATATATTAGATTAGTTAATAAAGAAACTTGCATGAAATGTACTTAGCCTCAAATATATATATATATATATATTAATATATTAAATATAATTAAATAGTGATTATATCTATATACATATATAAAGAAATTATTATGTAACAATAAAATTGTAGATCTTTTTTTTAATTATAGATTTTTAAAATTTTTGTTATATATAAAACTTTAAAATAAAATATTTTTTATTAAAAATTTAATTATTTAATTTAATTTTATTATAGTTAAAATCAAATTTAATTACATATATAGTTAGGTTTATCTATTTAAGAAATTTTTAATAAATATAAAAAATAGATAACTAGTAAAAAAAATAATAAGAGTTATACAGATGATAATTATTATTGTGCAGACATTTTTAAAATGGTAAATTTTTTTTAATTATTTTAACTATTTAAAGTAAAATAATAATTTATTAAATTGATCAAATTAAGATGAAAAAAAAATACTAATATATTAATATTTTGTTACATTTCTATCTGTCGCAATTACAGCTTTAATACGACGAGACATACTATTAATCAATTTTTCGTAATATTCAAGAAAAAATTCTTTCCATGCTTGCATGACATACTATTTAAGTTCTTTAAGATTTGATGGTAATAGGGTATAGCGACGAACCATGGTTTTCATTTCTGCCCAAAGATTTTCTATCAGATTTAAATCCAGGCTTTGGGCAGGTCACAGCAATATCACAATTCCAGCTTTTTGATATATTTCTTTGGTAATCTTTGAATATATTCTGTAACCACAAGAACAATATTTATAAAACATAGGTACCATATAATATTTGATTGTTTTAGTATATATAATTCCAGTAACTGAACTATGTAAAAAAATAATAGGACCAAGTCCAGACCATGAAAAACATCCCCAAAACATTAAGCTAGGACTGTGTTTCACAATAGCAGCAATACAAAATGGATGAAATGCTTCATTTGGTTTATACCATACCTTTTCATTATGTCCTTGCTGGAATTGTGTAAAGATACTCTCGTCAGAAAAAAGAACCTTTCTCTATTGTCTTAATGTCTAATTTTTATACGTTTTTGTCCACTCCAGATATTTTTTATAGTTTTCTTCTGAAATTACAGGTTTTTTTCATGGCATGTAAGCTTTAAGTCCAAGTTTTTTAAGGTTACGGCATATAGTAATGGCAGAGATAGGTTTCTTTAAACAAAGTGACCAAACATTTGCAAGTTGGGTGGTGGAAAGTTATTGATTGTTTTTTTTATTATCTTGTATGAAATTTTTGAGTTCTTGAAGGCTGGAGAAAGCAAGAAGGAGTGGTTTGCCAGTTTGTTTCTTAAATAATACAAAACCAGTTTTGCGAAATTGCTTAAGTACTTTATATACAGTTGTTTTACTACATTTGACCTGATTGGTGATGGTACGACCTGAGTAACCACATTCATGGCCATAAATGATCGCTCTAATATTTCAAGTAATACGGATTTCATTGTTTTTATTTATGAGTTGGGGCAAAAAAAAAACCCTCCAAGTAAATAACTAGATCATGTTTATATAATATGTCTTAAGCAAAATAAATATTTATTTTATTTTATTTTTTTATTAAATTTAATAAAAAAAATATTTGCATAATAATGATTGCTGTCTGTATATCAAGAAATTTTTTTGGTGGAGATCTTTAAAGATCTTCACCCAAAAAAAAATTTCAAAATTTCTAGAAAAATCTTTGAAAACCTTCAAAGGTTTTTAAAATTTTTTAATATAAAATTTTTTAAAATAATAAACTCCAGAAATTTTTATTTTAAAAAAATTTAAAAATCTTCAAAGTAATAATAATTGTATTAAAATAAATAATTATTTAATAAATATTAATTACTTTTACCAAATCTTGGAATTATATAAACTAAATTATCTATTGCTCT